GTTTTAAGGCCTGGGGAACTGCCCTCCCTGATGCATCCCTCATATTGGGCAATTGCCAATAATTGATATATCAGCTGACAGCAACAGGCACTTCTATCAGCTACAAAAATGTATCAGATACTGTATTTTTACAAGGTATGCTTATATGTCAGGACTGTGATTTTACAGTCCACCTATAGAGAGTGGCCCTGCCGGGTGTGCCAGGGCTCGAGGCTGCAGGCAGGACATGTCAACACATGCAAACAACACAGGAAACAGTGCCCCAACACTGTTTCTTGTCGTTTGTGGTGCTCCCGCCCCCATTTTCGATGGGGAAAAGGCACCAATGATGAGGAGATATATTTCTTCATTGTTGTGCACCATTTCCCCCACCATCAGAGGATGGGATAGGCTGGATCAGGATGGGGTACTTTGGATGATGCGGCATTTTTTTGCCTGTTGGTTATTTTTAGATACAGTCATCCGGCGAGCTCAGGCATGCATCAAAAAATGCGAAAAAAATCATATTTAATTGTAATAGAATAGCTACAGGGCATGGGTGGCTCTACCAGCCACCCGCTGTGAGATATATATAAAACGAGCAGAAACAGTGCACTATCGACACGCCATTTCTGCTCCCCGTGGCAATTGGTTATGCTCGCCCTTGCGCCTTGCTGCTCATGCTTCCCCTTGCCGCACGGTGGGTCTTGCTTGCCTCCGTGCTCTGCTCGCCCTCATGCCAGGGTTGTCATTGTGCCATGGTCGTCGTTGTGCAATCCCTGACCTCATACCATGCTCGCCCTCGCACCTCAGATGTCCTCATGCTGTGCTTGTGCCATTGTCGTCACTGTGCTGCGCTGGCCATCTTGTGCCCCACCTGTTCCTGTTACACCCCACTGTTCTTCCATTTGCACCCCCCATCGTTGTGGTGTGGCCACCGCAATGATCGTTGTGCAGCCGTGGTTGTCAGTGGGTGGCTGCCACCATCATCTTCGTGTGTGGTTGTGTGGGGGTGGCATTGCAATGTGGGGGTGGTGATAGAACATCAGGGTAGGTGAAGGAAGTGAGAGTGCAAAGGCGAGCGTTCATTGCTCACCTTTGCTGTCTCGCCGTCGCCCTCTTGCTGTCCCACCCATGCCGTCTCTGTCTCCACCCTTCCACTCCACCGTCTGGCTGATGGTTGTGGGTGTGTCGGTGTCATCGTTGTAAGTCTGTGATGCCCTCCTTCCCATCTCCATCTCTGTGATGGTCGTGGTCGTCCTGTCACATTTGTGGTCGTGGCAGACAGAAGAGGCCAGAAAGGCGGTGGAGATGCAGTGGCAGGGGAGAGGGAGCGGAAGTACAATGGTGAGGGGTTATCCCTTGTCATCAGTTTTGTGCTCATGCTGTCTGCTCACTGTCCTGAATTTGCTCTCGCTTTTGTGTCATTGCTGTCCCCCCTTGTGTCATTGCTGTCCCCCCTCATGTCATTGCCGTCCCCCCATGCCACTGTTGTCCTCATGCCTCCGACACTGTTGTCCCCTGTCAGATCGTAACTGGGTGCCGGACGCGATTGTAGCAGGCAGTGGCTCAGGAGTTGGAGGAGATGGGGGAGACACAGTTGGACGGTTGAGGTCAAGGGGTGGGGTGGGGTGTGTGGTAATGTTTGACACGTTGCAGCAACGGCGAGATGGCAAATGTGGAAGGGCAGGTTGCCCCTCCGCTCTGGTTCCCTTTGATGTCTGTGTCTCACTTGCGAAAATGTGGGCTTTGGGGCATGGATGCCGTTGACAGTGGCAGAGTGTTGATGGGGGTCGGCATAGGCAAGTGAGTGAGGGCAGGGCAAGCAATGGCAGGTGGGAACAAGATCCAGGAGGCGGGTGGCAATGGGATGTCAAGGGAGGGTGCATGGAGGAGGCTGGCCCACATCCCTAGGGAAGGGGAGGGGTGCACAGCTGGGTCTGAGTCGAGGGTCACATCATCTGCGACACAGGGGAATTCCACTATTGAAAAACACCTTTATTAGTCCATAAAACATTAGTAAATACTTCACATACCTGTTTGATGTGTTTTTGGGGCTGGATGGGCAACGGACAAGGTGCTGGGGGATGAGGATGGCCGTCGACGACAATGATCAATGATGCACAACCTTTGTTGATCAATTTTCGGCTGTTGCTGTATGAGGTTCAATTGGCTGTTCAGCCCTCGGTCCAAGCGCCGTCTTCCGCTTCTCGAGAAATGGGATGTTTCTGTGCTCACACACAGGACACCCAACCACATAATAATGATCAGATATTTTCCTCTACATAAAGTTGAATATGTACATAAATTTTTGAAGAGATTGCACTACAATTGAGCTCAGAAGATAGCTCACACAAGGTGTCCGTGGTGATTTCGGTCCATTGCACAAAAACTTACCTTGCATACAACAGTGAAAATAAATGGAATGGGTCTCTTTACTTGAGGATTAAAATTTGCCATATTCCCTCTTAATTATTTAGGCTTCCTCCAAACCATTCCCTCATTTTAATGTCACAATCTTCAAGTGCTCACCTCAGTGGTAAGATTTTTGTTGTTATCTAAACAATATCTAAAGCACCAACACTTCACTTACTCATCTCCAGTATACTCACACAAATTCATGCCATTCAAGTACTGGAAATTGTTTCTAATTTACCTATAAGTTGATACTCAACAATTACTTTGCAGAAATAAGCTGCCAATGACATTTGAGGACGTCAACAATGTCGCGAGTAGGCGGGCCGGTAAGTCCAGCCAATCAGCTCATTCATGGCAAATCCTGAGAGCATGATCAACAATGTTCAACATCGTTGATCACGGCTCTCCACCACCTGGCATGCCCCTACCTCTCGAGACGAGCTACGACAGTCGTGCTGGTCGCATATAAGGTACGTATTACAATTTTCCGTCATTAAAACTACTTACCTATGTATTCTATCACTCAGGGCATCCCCCCTCACGTGCACAACACCTACCATCTCACTGCCTCCCCTTCAACAAGGGATGTGGGCTGGCATATTCCCCTGTTTGCCTGCCTGATTTCACAGTCGCTGAACCCTGCCATCGCTCACCAACAAAGCTCTCGATGCCCCACAACCTGCTCTACCTGCACCATGTGCCCCTCCCAATCAACAAAGGATGTGGGCCAGCTTATCTATGTCTTTAGCTGCCCATGCCCCTTCCCCTACTCCCTCGCATGGCCCCACAACTGCCTAACCCCGCCCTTGTTTGTCCTTGACACCCTTGACACCCCACACCCCGCTCTATCCACACCAGGTGCCCCTCCCCTTCAACAGGGATGTGGGTCAGCTCCTGCTCATTGATGCCAACTACCCTGGTCTTCTGTCACATGACCCCCATGTTGAAGACCTCACCACCACCTCCCTCCACGTCGTTTTGTGACACGGACATTAAGTGAGGGGGTGGGGCGGGGGCAGGTGGAGGACAAGGGTGATGAGGAGAGTGACAAGAAGGCAGCAAGGAGGAGGTCGAGGCAGGAAGAGCAAGCTAAGGAGAGGGCGATGGCACGAGAGATGACGAATGCAGGGGCAGAGACAATGAATGCAGGGGCAGAGAGGGTGAATGCAAGGGCGAGAGGGCGAGAGCAAGACGACAGGCATGAGCAACAGCCCGCCTTTGCACTTGCCCTCTTCTCCACAACCCTCTGTCTTGGTATTGTAGCCTCACGTCACCATCTCACTCACGCCTTGTGACCTCGCCATGCCACCTCCACCCAATCCCATGGCAACATGGGTGATACGAAGACGGTGTGGAGAGAAGGGGATCCTGCTGGGTGACACCACCACCATGCCAGCCCAAGGGATGATGATGACAAGGAGGTCCGCCAGACGATTGGCATGAGCAATCGCAGCTGCCCTTCAAATGCGCCACCACCCCTCGTTTCCACCTTACCACCCACCTCTGTTCTCCCTCCTTGTGTCGTACGCAGAACCACATCATCCAAGAGACAATGTGTAATGTGATACAACAGATTTGGGGCAACAAATGAGGTAGCATGGGTGGGGACAGGGGGTAGGTAGACCACCCATGTACGACTGCGGCAGTGAACCAGCGCATGACTCAGCGAGGGCAGGAGTGACCAGCGTAGGGCGAGGGTGACCAGCGAGAATGAGGAGGAGGAGCAACCACAAACAGGGGGTTGAGGGTGAGCTCAGTGGGGTGAGAGTGAGGATGACCGGTGGGGGCAAGAACTACCAACAAGGACAACCAGTGAGTGCAAGGACGACCAACACACCGCTGAGGGTGAGACAACCAAGGCGACAGCACGACATGCAAGACAGCAGCAACACAAGTAAGATAATGGCCTGGCAAGCAAGCCTCAACATGAACGCAGACCATGACCGCAATGCGACCCCAGTGCCAGCATGAACATGGTGGCGGGTGGTTCGTACACGATGAGGAAACCAGCAACAGTGGGACGGCAGCGCCACAACCTCAAGCACTTAAGATGAGGGCAAGCATAACCAATTGCCACAGGGAGCAGAAATGGCGTGTCGATAGTGCACTGTTTCTGCTCGTTTTATATATATCTCACAGCGGGTGGCTGGTAGAGCCACCCATGCCCTGTAGCTATTCTATTACAATTAAATATGATTTTTTTCGCATTTTTTGATGCATGCCTGAGCTCGCCTGGATGACTGTATCTAAAAATAACCAACAGGCAAAAAAATGCCACATCATCCAAAGTACCCCATCCTGATCCAGCCTATCCCATCCTCTGATGGTGGGGGAAATGGTGCACAACAATGAAGAAATATATCTCCTCATCATTGGCGCCTTTTCCCCATCGAAAATGGGGGCGGGAGCACCACAAACGACAAGGAACAGTGTTGGGGCACTGTTTCCTGTGTTGTTTGCATGTGTTGACATGTCCTGCCTGCAGCCTCGAGCCCTGGCACACCCGGCAGGGCCACTCTCTATAGGTGGACTGTAAAATCACAGTCCTGACATATAAGCATACCTTGTAAAAATACAGTATCTGATATAGATTTCTAGCAGACATGGCTGCAACAGGTGCCTCGACAGATTCTCTCTCACCTCCCTCCTTGAGGCTGAGACGTCCTCTAAGGATGAGCCAACTACCCGCCCGGCTCCCATTTTTTGACCCCCTCCTCCTGCTGCCTGTGGGCTGCTCAATGAGGGTGTCATTGATGTAGGGGCTCCACCCGATGTCCTCATGCAGGCATTGGACGACCTTGGTTGCCTGGCCTCCCCCCCTTGCATCCCCGCCTCTAAGAAGCATAAGGGTGTCGATCATCCAGTGCCTCCTCCTCCTCAAAAGAAGAGTAAGGTCGCCTACTCCTGCCCTGGTCTGCCCCTGCTGATCAACCACACCACCAAGCCCAAGCCCCGTTCAACGACGTGGGCAGGGATTGCTCATCAGGCTGCTACAATGCCTCCCCTGCCTCCTGGCTTGGGACTGCAGCATAGTGAGCCTACTCCTCTGCCCTCATTCCTGACTGGACTGATGAAGACATCAACTCATCACTCCGTCCCATCCTTCACTTCTGAGGGTCCTACCTGGAAGCAAATCCTTGTGTCGTTCAGGGGTACCCCTTCTGACCTCACAAAGTTCTTCACCGAGTCGGCCGTGCGAGTGGTCAATGGATACCTCAGGGATGGCCATTCCATGTTGAAGGTCACCTCCATCAGTTGCGCTTACGATGGCATGTCGTTGACCACCCCCACTATTGCAAGCCTGTCCGACCTGGACATTGTTTGCAACTTCGTCCACAATAGCCTTCCAATGGGTACCCCATTCATGGCTGCGCTCCCATTGTCGACATCTTTTATTAAGATACTCGACGTCCCTTACTTCAATCCAAAGAACGGAGGAAGATCACCCAGGAGGTGCTTGAGAAGGCCCTCCGTGCCTCAGTTCACACTGAGGTCTTTGCATATCTGAGCACCAAGCCTTGGATCGACTGCAACTTGGCGCACTCAACATCGTGCACTGTGTACTGCAACATCTGGGACTCCCAGCAGGGAACCCGCACCAAGAAGGCTTTAGGCCAACCCGTTTTCCTCACAGGGTGCACTTCTATAAGCCAGGAACATGTATCAGACCCAGCATTTAGCCAGTGTGATCTCATAAGTCCAGAGTGTGTTTGAGCAGTCAGGGTCTCGTAGGCTGCTGGGGTGAGTTTGCCGGGGATGCTGGGGCCATAGGGATTTGTTTGGGGGCGGGAGGGGGTAAATAAATGACCAAACAACCCTCCCGGGGGTGGGGCAGGGGTAGGGTAGGCCTGTTGGGGGCAGGAGGGGTGGGAAATGCATGGGAAATCCATCCAAAACAGGCAGGGATGGTGGGGCATGTATAATAG